TGTTAGCGAACAGCCAATCAGTCAGTAAATCAGTAAATCCAAAGGTAATAGTACATCATTCAATTAATCCTTCAGTTACTCTATCGGTCAGTTAACAGTCAATCAGTCGGTCTAACAATCAATCAGTCAATCAATCTATGATACCTTTTACCTAGCTTCCAGATGTCGATAAATGGGCTTTTGATGCTGATAAAGAAAAGGGTTTGGAGATTAATATGCCCTCTTTTTATCCAGTTTTTATGCATAGGACTTATGAGAAAATTAAATGTACGCCTCGTAATGTTGAGCTGGCAACGCGAGTGATGTAAATAATATTTTGTTGCTGGGATTTTAATTTGCCACCCAGCGACAAGGCGACGCGCGGTTTTAAACAATTTTTAATTAATTTGCACAAGGACAATGCAGTGTGACAGCAGCTGCTTGGCATTAAACTCACGTAAGTGGGCTTAAGGCGTGGCATTGGCAAGCAAATGAAGGCGTTAAATTAAAATTGTTGCGAATTTCTGCAGCGGCAGGCTACAACAACTTTAGTTAATCAAATGACATGCAACATGCGCACACACACACACTCATGCACACAATGCTGTGCTGGGCGTGGTTGCCAAACACACACACACACACATGCACACACAAATAAATCACAGAACTCGCATTCCCCACCTACTCTCCAATCTACTTAATTGCTTAAACAAAATGCTGCGCACTATTGAGCAATTATGCAGTCAACGCCCTACCCGCCCGCCCCTTTTGACGCCTTGGGCCCCGTACAAAAGTATGCAAAACTTGATGCCAGAAAGTAACAGTCCGCCAAAATGTCTTAATATATTCAACGATTTGACGTTCGTCGTCAGCTTTTTGGCTCCCGCTCCCTTTTCATATAATTTATGCGCGTTTTAATTTCATTTGGTGCCTAACAAATGCCACGCCCATTCGCTTGTCAAAATGTGCGCGCCCCAAAACGAAATATGTTATTTTAACACCTTCAAGGTTGCGCCCCTCAGACAGAACACTAAGCTTAACCGCAGGCCCACTCCCAGTCTCCCTCACTAAAGAAAAGGGTCGAAAGTGCTACAGGGCCGGCAATCAATACGGTAACAGATTGTTTCACCCTTGGGGTGAAAGATATTAAATGATTTTTATTGAGGTTTACGTAATTTATATACTAACTGGGAAATGTCGGCAACGATTAATTTGTTGGATCTGAGGCTATATAACGCAAGTTATTCAACTATTTAATATTTTATTGTCCCTTTTGTTGATAAAATGCTTTTAGTAACAATCGAAAAAGCAAACACTAATGCATAATTGGAAATGCATACACTTGCAGTACTTTAAAACAGAATGAATGTCTTAAAATTACTTTAAATTTAATTAAATAAATCTCTTAATTATCACGTTAGGAATGAGCTAAATAAGACTCTTTCGCATTAAAAAAATCACAATTTTATTTTTACTAGCATCAAGCGTATTTAGCGGCTTGTTCCAAAACTTCTTGAAATTTCCGAGTACTCATTAGTTACGCAACATTTAAATCACTGTACGGCCATCTTTTCACTGTACTTTGGCGGAAGATCCGAGGGATTGGACTGCTTCGATGCCTGCCAATTGTTGGCCGATGGTCCTGGTGGCGCATAGGCGGGTGGTGAATCCACCACCTGCTGTGGCATAGCCACATATTGGGTATTGCTACACACAACAGCTGGTGCCACTCGCATGGAGGTCTTGCCGGGGCTTACTGTAACCACGCCAGTGGTGGGCACCAGCACGACATTGCCATTCATTATGAGTCTGCAGCGCCGACAGGGACCCCAGAGCCAGCCGAGTGTCGCTCCGATCAGACCACGGCGATGATAGCACTCGCATTGTTGCACAATTTGAATCTGCTGAACTTGCGCCATATTGTGTGGAGCAGTATTCCATGTACGTTGTTCGATTCGCAACTGTGTGTGAACTACGCCTCAAGTGTCGCATTTATAGAAATATGTGTTTCTTATCAGCTATAATAATCCTACATGTCGGTTAACAATAGATATTCGCAGTGATTCATTTCCAAGCACTGATAAGTTTCTTGGGGGCCTCTAATTAGAATCGTTAGAGATTTTCAATTGTAGGATTTACTGTCGCAAATATTATATATTTCTACAACTTTTTATAAACAATGTTAACTTTCCTTTGGGAAGCAGAAACTAAATTAGTTCTAGCGTGTCTTACATATTTATTGCACTTTGTTTAAGCACACAGAAGAGGAAAGTATATAATAAGCCAAGATAAATGCTCATAATAATCAAACGAAGGCATCTTCAGTATTGACAAGAACACATAACCTTGAGCTGAATAGTGCAAGTGTTATTTGCAAGAATTTCGATTTAAAGGATAGCCATTTTTTTCACTATTATTAATAGCTCATTTAAAGAACTCAAAACGCATTTAAAATATTTGAATATATTTTATAGCTATTTAAATAACTTAAATATATTTTGAAAATATATATAATAAATTAATTCAATTGAATATCATCAGATATTCATATCTTAACCAAAAGAAATCATTCTGTTTCTTTCGCTGAGAAACCTCGCATATGAGAATCTTCCAAAAAGTTTTTTAAGTTGCAATTTTCAAGGTAGGCTTTTCAGTTGGTGGCCACCATTTCGCTGTACTTCGGCGGAAGTGCCGAGGCAAACGTCTCCTGCGAAGCCTGCCAATCGATGGCCATTTGTGCTGGTGCTACAGCCACTTGTGGCACGTTAACAGCTCGAGTGGTTGTGGACACAACAAGAGGTGACACGCACGTTCTGTCCATGCCGCCATTTACTGTTACTGCAGCCGCACCAGAAGTGGGCACCACAAACACATTGCGATCCATCATGCGCCGGCAGCGACGGCAGGGACGACCCCAGGCCCAGGGACGCAGCACATAGAGGAGTCCACGACGATGATAGCATTCGCAGCTTATGTTCACCTGTTGCACCACGGCCATGTTTTTCTGTAGAATGTCTGGCTTGTCGTCTGATATCTAACTGATTTTTAGCTACGACGCGATTGTTGCATTTATAGTGTGAAATTAGTTACTATCGGTATCGTAATCCCTCACGTATGTTATCGATAGCTTTATATTTGCAGTGATTCATGCGCATTCAGCGATAAGGCGTCGCGTGTTGATAAATGTTTCACAGGGGGCCAAGGGCAATATCTATAAGCTTTGAGACAGCGATTGGCTTGCGAATTGAAACTCACGCTTTGCTCTACGGTTAGTTGCACTAACAGAGGGATATATAATTAGGCTTAACGACATTTTTCGAGCTTACGACAAACGTGAACTCTAACCTTTAAGAGGACTCAAAGATTGAATGTCCTCGAAATGCCTTTGAATCATTTAAAAATTTCATTAACAGATTCTTGACAAGAATTCTTAGAATTATTAAACTAAAATCAGAACTTCCGAAGCATGAGTTGTGTTTATCGAGAAACAAGATAAACAAATATCCCACCAAATGTTTAGACCAATTCTTATTGATTTATACGAATTCAATCATTTTTATGTTCCTCAGTAAGCATAAAATTAAGTTATACATTAAAGTTGCTTTACTACAAATTTATTTCAATTCTATTTTTCTCTATAGAAAGATATCACTTTGAGAAACTTGAATCGACTGTTTTAATAATTAATCAATTTGATAATCAATTATATCAGTTTTATTACATATATACCCTACTACGATTTAATGGAAAACAAGTGTGGTGCAAGCTTATGAATGTGTCGAAGTTAAAAAGACATTTCAATCTTTAAAAGAAAACACTAATTTTCCTAATATGAATGATAGATCGAGTAGCAATAGCCCATCTTTAGTCTTTCAACTATTGGAAATATTCGAAAGTTTATTGCAATACAACTTTCAGCAATTTCTTAATATTGTAGGCGCTTTCTATGTTCCTTAAGGTATTTTAAGAGGTCGCAGCTTGGAAAAGAAAAAATGATGAATTTACTAATAGATGCTCTGATTTAAAATTAAGCACGAAAAAGCTAGTCAGACTTGATATCAATTAAATTGTAGAAATTACTTTCAAAACAGCCTAGATTCAGTTTTCATTTGAAAAAGTTATTGCTTTAGTTTTATTTGTATCATTCTCTTAGATCTCTTCAACTCCGCATTAATCTAAGCCTGGCTTTGCTTTAGCTGACGACCACAGTTTCGCTGTATGTGGGCGGCAGAGTCGCGGGATATGATGTCTGCTGTGTCAGGACCACATGTTGCTGTTGCACCGGCACCGCCTGGGTGGTGGTTGTGGACACCACAACTGGTGATCGGCGTGTCGAGGTCATGGCGGGGGTCACTGTAACGGCAGCCGCTCCAGAAGTGGGCACCACAACCACATTGCGATCCATCATGCGCCGACAGCGACGGCAGGGACGACCCCAGGCCCAGGGGCGCAGCACATAGAGGGGTCCATGGCGATGATAGCATTCGCATTGAATATTGACCTGTTGAATCTCTGCCATCTCGTTGGATTGTTGTATTCCTTGTTTGTCGTTCGTTTCGTTACTGAATGTCAGCTTCGATGCAATTGTTGAATTTATAACGCAAAATATATACCACTCGCCGTTATCAGTTTATTGTAATCCTTTAGGTATCTTATCGATGTATTGCCTTAATGATGGATCCATTCTTGCTGTGATTCATGCATAAGACGCAGAGACGCTACCAAATGCCTCACGGGAGTCAAGCTATGTGCATTGCCCCCACGCGAGTGACTCATGTGTATCTTGAGCCAACATATTGAAACATTTGATTTAAATCATCTACTTTTCGTATTATTCGATGACATTTCAATAGTTTACATAATGCTGTAATGCACTGTTATCTTTATTTATATAATTTAAAGATTTACCCTTATCATTGTTTTTATGCAAGTTATAATTTTTATTGACAAAGTGTTTACAACTTGGTCTTGATGGTACGCAGTAGCCTTTTGCTTACCTACAAATTTTCTATTGCCTGAATCTAGTTAACTTTGTCTCAGTCTTGTCGGGGCTAAACAATAGGAATATTCAGATAGACTCTCAAATCAAAATAACACACATTCGGAAGGTCTTTCGCTATGGTATTGATTTGCTGCACTTATTTTCAATATGAGTTCCTAAACCTTGACTTCCACTTTTAATAGAATACCGAAATCAACAGCTCAGCTACGGCAGATGGAGAACCGAATCTCAAGATAAATCGAGGGTCATACACTTCGGGTATATATTTACGTAAATATACCAATAATCACCATAATATCTTTAAATTTCTTTATTAGAGATAAACGAAAATGCTCAAACTTGGAACCGAAAGAATAGACAAGAGACCACTTGGGATGATGCTGGTGGCCGTGGTTCCAAGTTGGGCAAAGTCAAGTTGGCTAGGACTCGGCCTGTAACACGCGGTCGACCAAACTGGATGCGTGATCCATTTGGTCGAACGCAAATAATTCAAAATCTAATCATAATGATACCCATCGGCATTTTATTGGCCGATCGCGTTCTAGAATTTATATTTGCTAAGTAATCGTCGTCAATGATCGTCTCGTGCTTATTTTCGAAATGTGCCGAAAAGATTGGTAAATAAATTATTCGACGGTTGTACGAAAATTTGCGTTTAATACCCGATGTGCTCTTTCAAAGATCATCAGTATTGAGAACTAAGTCAAGTGACTATGTAAATGTACAATTGGCTTTGTTGGAAATGAGCAATGTGTTCTCTATTACAAAAAGCAATTTCGGTTAACGTAGCTTTTCGATGACTCGCCCACCGCTAATTAAAAATTAAAAAAAATGTAAACACTGCCCCTCTATGCGATTCTCATGAGTTCATGTAATAACCACTGGCTTTCACGCTTTGAACAAATCGATTTTAATGCCCCTTGTATTTGTAAAATTTTTTTAGTAACTGTCGAAAGAGCAAACACAAATGCATAAACAGAACTCGAGCAAGGTAGTTGGCAACTTTTACAAAAGATTTTAATTTCATATACAAACGACAAATAACAAATAAATATTTACTTTTTTTGTCTTTTCAGACCACACGATAATATCATTTCAATTAGAAGTAATTGCTATGATTTATTTATTTTTAACTTATTCAAGGAACTTTTTGAATGGTTTTTCAATTAAGTGCCACGCCCAGTTGTTACCACATGGGTCGCTGTTGCTCTACAATGACAACTTCCTCGCGGGGTGGACGACGTCCGCCAATGTTAAACTCGATTAGTGGTCGACTGGGTCGCATCACATCCACCTCGACAATGGGGCGTGGTGGTGGCGGTGGCTGGTAGACAGCCGCTGGCGTGATCACCTCTACCACTTCCTGTTGGTAGGAGGGATAGCGCGAGCCGACATCAATCTCAACAACGGGCCGTGGAATACGTGGTGGCACAATATCTACCTCCACAATGGGACGTCCACCATGATGGTGATGGTGATGGTGATGGCGGCGCTCGTCCTCGTAGTATGACATGCTTCCTTATTAATGTATATTCCTTTTTATTTAGGTATGGAAGCAGTTGACTCTGCTTTCGCTGGGCGTTAACTGAATTTCTTTCGCAACTGGTTAACATATTTAAGCGGACAGCTTTCAGGCGTTTTGACCAGGTTGGTACTTTTTTATTTTGGGTTGTTGGGGGCTTAGTTCACTATCTTGTCAGGTGGTTTTAGGTGTCTTCGATAAACATTGATAAACAACTTCCAGTGTGGGCGGACAAAGGCCAGAGGGGAATAACAAGCAAAATGTGTTGTTTTGTGAAATTTTGGAATCACAACAGGCGCGGTAACAAAGATATATGAATCATATTATTTAATAATAGTTCCCTGGGAAAATCAATGTATCTTCTGGAAATAAATTAACTTCAGCTAGTAGTTAAGTTTGGCTTAAAGAAACTATATATATTTATTCTATTTCCTTCGCGTCAATGGCCTTGAACCGATTATCAATGTCATTGATTTCACTTTGCTGGCTGGGTTTGATGTCATCGATTAGAATTAAAGAAATAACTTCCAGTAGAAATAAATTGCAGAAGAGACACACAAAAAACCATTGTCAAATTAAATGGCGACGTAGAATACAACAGTTGCAAAATATGATAAGATATTCTTATTCAAAAAAATGTTTACTTAGATAATGAATTGCTTCCGAAAGTTATAAAAAAAACAGTACTGTATCTGTTGTCATGAGATTGAAAGCAAACTATTCATGTTAATAATAACTTCATAATAACTTCACATGGAATTAAAATAATAATAGTTAAATATTCCCAATCTGAGTAAACTAAGCGAGTAGCTCTTATAATTTTCGAGTTATGCTTTAAGAAAAGAGCATATACTATTATCGATATAAAGAGGACGGGAAGAGGAAATTACATGGTATTATCTAGGAAGCAGCCTTAATAAAAAAAGATGGTTGAAATGCATTTTTGGAATGGGAATCGCGGGCCTAAAATTCTCAAACAGTTTAACCATGGAGTTAATACAGAGTTGTTTAATTCCTCTCGTTCCACATTCATCAGCAGAGATTTTAGTTCGTAATATGATCCGTCACATTTATTAAAATTCGAAATTTGTCAAATTTGCAAAAGCATTTTCTAAAAATAACTTTAGTTTGTTATATTTCAAGATTTTGCTAGTTTTTGAACAAAGTCCGGTTCATAACAAAAAATGGTTCACAATTAAAGGGCATGCTTTATAATTGCCACTTATAAATAAATTTATTTTCGCGATGTACACAAACATTTAACATATTTCATAATAATTCAAGGTTTTACACTCGATTGCGTGGGCGCGTTGTCTACCATTGTGGATAGGGGGGCGTGTTGTACTGCTGATATTGATACTGATAGCCCTGCTGCTGTTGATAGTAGCCCGTTCCGCCCATGGACATGCCATTGTATGGCTGAGGCATCATCGCTTGGCCACCAGGCAGCGGCATATAGTTGGTCGCTGGGCTAACTATGACGACTTCGGGCCTAGCAGCCGGCGGCGGATAATATGAGCCACCCCAGCCGGGGAAAACATCAATCTCGATATCTGCACAGAAGTATAAATATATATACAATATTATTGTTGGCCATCTACAGAACGGTATGCGTTCATCAAATCTCTTGTGCATATCTCCAATGCTTACTTGGGCGATGATGGTGATGATGATGACTATAGCGACATGGATCTTCATAGTATGGCCGCATGGCTCTTGCCAATGCTTGTGCTGTATGGAGCACAGCAGTTTGTCTACTAAGCCTTATCGTTGCCAAAACACTTTTTTGTTCGGTTCTGTTCTGGTTGTAGCTGACTTCCAGTGCAGTTGGCCATCAATCAGGGCAGAGCTTATTGGCATTTTCATTCCAGTGTTCAGATAAGCGGGCCCAAAGCATACAGCTTGTTAGTCATCTTGACTGGGCAGCAATCGACTGATAATAAACAGGCGCTGCGGGGGTTGTACTCCAAATTTAACAACATAAATGTGCGAAATGTGGTTCTTTCCATATTATTATTGTTTTTATTCACAAAATGACTTGCACTGTAATTTTTTCAATCACACGGAAATTTCAGCTTCTGAACTAGTTAAAAAATTCCTAAGAGTGTTTCATTATTATATATCCATATCTCCAAAGCAGTAAGTTTTCTTTTAATCAAATGTGAGTTTCTAAATTTATGAACTAGTTCAACAATTCTTGAATTATATTATTATATCTAGTCAAGGCGCAGCTCTGATGTTCTGGAGTTTACTTTACATATGTATGACACCTATAACAGTCGTATAATAACGATGTATGTACATTGTAGTTTGAGTCGTGTGGTTCCAGGTTGTAATAGAAGATTGAATATAGCACGGTTAGAAATTATGAGGACAATTGATGTTTTAAACTTGAAGAGCCCGGGAAAAGCCGGGTAGTACACACGCTTATACACAAAATATATATCAGATTTGGCTCGGTATCAAAACCTTCAAATTAAGTTACCTCCAAAGTTGACTTGCAAGAAAAATACAAATTTTCAATATTTTTGCAGTATTTTTTCAGTTTTTATTAAAAATGCATATTAAAAACAAATGTTAGAAAACTTTAGAAGTTTACAAATTTTCCCTAATTAATGCGTACTTGAAGTGAAGTCATGTGAACTGGGACAAGTCTTAGCAATACATTCAGGAAAGCCCTTTTTCGACATTTGAGTATATACTATATAGATTCTCGCAGACCAACCCTCGTAGTTAATAATGGCTGGCTATGCCGGTTGATATTTTGATTTATAGTTTATGTTTATGTGCGATGAATGCCTCAATAATCAATACATAATCCAAAGCCACAGCTGGCATGGAGTTTATCGGCTATAGACGCCATTGATAGCGGGCTTATCGCAGAGATAAGAAAAGTTCGATAAGCGCGGGCCAAAGTAAATTGAACACAAATATGATAAGTTATAATACATATATATCATTTTTTCCAGGTGTTTCGAATGTTCAGGTGATTTCTTGTGTGATAACAATGCTTTTCTACATGTCTACGAAATAATTGTGCTGCGTTAATTCATGAAAAGGAGAATGCTTCGCCTCCTTCTAGTTGCGGGGTGTTGGATTGTGATAGTGTCCATCTGATGGCGGCTGCTGGTAATAGGGCGGCGGCGGCTGCTGCTGTACAACAACAACGGGTGCTGGCCGCGGTGGTGGTGGCGCCTGCTGAACAACCACAACGGGCGCCGGACGCGGCGGCGGTGGCGGCGTCTGCACAACGACAACATTGTTGTGATGATGGCGCCGGGGCCAACGTGGTGCAATCTGCACATTGATAATGGGTCCACGACGTGGTGGTCCACCGCAACGATCGCCTGGTGCCATTTTTGGAGTCTATATGATATTTGGCTGCGAAAAACTTGTTAACTCTTTGAGGACACGTCCAAACGCGTTCGCCTATCGTTCTTAACTGAACCGAAAGCAAATTTAGAGCCACGGTAAAATGCGTATAATGGCAATGTTTCGATTCGTATTGCACAAAAAGCTTGACATGTACATATGTGTTTATTACTCATACGCAGCGTATTTCGCACTGCCAAAAAATCAGGGAGAGGCAGACTAAGAGAGAGAGAGAGCGGGAGAGCGTGCGAGTTTGAGTAAAATGTTTATTGCTTGATTAGACATAGCTCACAATCTATACTATCCATTTTTTGATTGATTATTTTTATCAGTTGCAATATTTTGTTTTAGATATGTATAGCGATAAGTTCTGTTCCCCTTGAGCTTTTGCAATATTCCGCTCGGAGTCCTCTGAGTCAGAGGCAATCGGGCTTCCCTTTGTTTTAACTAAATTCTTAAACACTGATGACTCACTTGCAGGCATTGCATAGATATAATGCAGCCTACGTTTATTTCATAATGTAGTAAAAAATAAAGATTTTCTATTTAAAAGAAAACCAGTCGGTTATATGACTTGATCTTGTGCATGTTTCTATTTAAGGCTGTTAATATAAACGCATTGTTATATTGAGTTTAAGGAAAATTATCTAAATGTAGTCTCCGAGCCATTTACAAGATATTTCTTGGCGTCTTTAATATAAGATTATCTCAATGTTTTTTATAAAATTCCTAATATTATTTTTCAATGTTTCACTTTGTCAAAAAACCATAATATATCCATTTGATGTTGGAAGAAGAGGGTTCAGGGTATCCCCTAGTCCCGACTAGAACCTCTTACTTGTTCTATTTAAAGTCCAAACATTTTTTAAATTGAAATAATATTTGTCTTAGTCAAAATAAACAAAATTATTTAGCAATAACTTTAAAGATCTCTCTTAATAATAATAAAGTATGCGCAATTCATTACTCTAACCATAATCGATGTTGATTTTTTTTTATAGCAATCGATTTATACCCGCCTCTATTTACACTCCCCCTTCAGAAGCTGTTTGCTTTATCTCAATAATATTTGAAAGACTCTCAACTATTAACACATTACTCTTTAGGATTGCTCTTGACAATTTGACGCGTAGCATGAATATTGCAAATATTTGCAAATCAATTAAGCTTTGCAACAAGAACAACCACAAGGTGCAACGGAGGCGCCACAAGAATGTTTAAGAGGGGAGGGGAGGGTATGCTTTTGACTTTAAGTAAATTAAGTTTGCACTTGCAAAGGCAAAGGACAAGTAGTTGCAATATCGAGAGCTTGTTAATTACACAATATAAATACAAACTTATATATACAATAATTTTAATACACTTATTGAGGGTATTATAGTTTTTGCACGAAATGTTTAACACATAGCAGGGCCCATTTTCGACCCCTTAATATATTTATATATATATTTTTTAGTCGGTATTCACAGGCAAGTTTATATAGATAGGACTTTTTATCGGTCGCAAATAAAGTTCTGCTATTAAAACTGTTCTAATGTCACAAGCTCGATATTTAGTTGACACCAAAAATATAGATAAAATATATCTAATAAATATCTGTTCATCACCCAAGCTTTTGCTTTTGCTTTTGCTTTTGTTTTCCATTATATCCAAGCTTTTATCACTAAAACAGTTCCAAATAAGGGTATTTCATTTTCGGCGAGTTGAGCTTAGTTTTTTTCTTTTATTATATACCATATATGTTGATTATATTGTTAACACGAGCATTTTGAATGCGTTGAGTTATATTTTGGCGTTTGCTAATTGAGTTGTTGTTTCAGTTTGTTGGCTGTCAAGTGTGCGGTATACAGGGCATGGCATGCATAAGGTGGAGAGAAGGGTGGCACTTGCATTTGCTTAAATTCGCAGCACTTGAGTGTCACTTTGATCAAAGGCTCGGGCTGCAGGGGCGGAGGTTGTGCATTGAAGGTGTGGAGGTGTATGTTACAAGCACTTCGACTTGGGCCTGACAGGCAAAAGTTAAACATGCACAAAGCGAGCGACTTGGCAAAGTTTTTAACTGGCTGGAAAGTAGGAAATGAATGCGAGTTGGAGGCTTATGCGGCATAACTCGTACATATTGCAAAATGTGTTAAGGATGGGCCTGGCTGCTACACATCAGCATGATAAGCAGCAGGAGGCGGGGCTTTAGGTGGGTGGGCAGCATGGGAGGCAAGCAGCTTGACAGCGCGTAGCCAATGTAATGATGCCGCTTGGCTTCGCACCGCACCATGTCGTCCCCCTCCGTCCTCCCTGCCCTGGGCCCCTTCTCTATGCCAGAGCTTGGCTTTTTTCGCATGCATATTTTAGGAAATGAATTGCAAGCCTGGCAAGATAAAGCGCCGGCGTCTCAGAATCGTGTGGAGCAGCGAATCGATAACTGTCAAAAAATAAGCCGGCGAGCAACACGCAAGACAGCCACCCAGCAGGGGATACCGGGCGGAGAGGGGGACTCAGAAGTCGCGAGGCGGCACACAATTTAAATATTTATGGAGCTGCGCAAGAGGCGCCACAGCACACGGCATAACCAAAAAACCGTAACCGTAAACTCAACCGAAAACCGAGTAACTCGCAGCAGTAGCAGTAGCAGCAGCAGTAGCAGCATTTCGGAGCCAGCGGGGCATGCAGCGAGCGAGGGCAGCGAGAGGGGCCGCATTGGCAGCTCCAGAAAACGCATTTCCTGCACATGTCATGACATGAAGGCGTCGACTAAAATGCAACGCCAAAAGGCGAGCTACACAGAAGAAGAAGAGTTTGCTGGATTGCCAAAGGTATGTACTGGGAGCGGCTGGGGAAGGGGTGTGGGGTGCCGTGGTGTAACGCTTGAGAGAAACCGCAGCGACTACATGAGCTGCGTCTATGTTTTTTATTTTTATTTTTAGATTATTTTATAAAAAAATTGTTGGGTAACATTCTTAAAAGCAGTTCCACAGTTTGATGGCATTTATGAATTATTGAAGCCTGTCAAAATGTAAAAGTTTGAGCACCGCTGGAAAAATATATATAAATTAAAGTTCAACCCAATGTGAGCTTCTGACAGTTATGATGACATATTGTATGCAACATAAAAGTGTACGCCTATTCGGTAATAGGGTGAAATAAATAGAATATAACCGACTGTTTAATACCCTGTTCAGAGTATAGGAACAGCTGTGAGCAGGCTAGTTGACACTAGGAATATTTTGAAATTATTTTGACGGGCGACTGTCTGTATGTTAACCTTTTAAAGCAAAATTTATAATTAGCCTGCCTAAGGTTGAACATGGTCGAAGGTTCTTAGTTGTTTAGCTTGATTTCAAATGGTTTTAAGAAAAATGAGTTTATTGGATGCATGTTATTTTCTCCACTCACACAAAAACTTAAAAGAAATACTAGAAAAATCGAGATATGAATGGAAAGCTCATAAATGCTTAAGAAAAATATGAATAGTAAATGCCGGGGCTTGTCGAAATATCTCAAAAAACAAAAAGCAAAGTTTCAGGACGATAGCCTTAGGACTGGCGGACTAGTTCGTATAGGAACAGACAGACGGACGGACGGA